TATGTGTTTGTTTGACCGGTTTTCTTACAATTTTTCTTTTTTCCGTTCACCTTTTTTCCAAATCATGAACTTACATAAATTCATGAACATTTTTCTCAAATACGTGAACTTTTTTCAAAATCAATTAAATTTTTCATATTAGTGAAACTTTTTTTTTCAGATGCACGAACTATTTTTAACTTCATGAACTTTTTCAGACTAGTGGACTTTCTTTAGAAGTGTGATTTTTTTCAATTCATGAACATTTTTCAATTCATGTTTTCTTTCAAGTTCAAATTCATGATTTTCAAAAATTCTAGAATTTGTGGACTTTTTTCGAATTAGTGAACTTTTTCGAAATCTACGAACCTTTTTCATTGCCATGAACTTTCTTAAAAATTCAATGGTCAAACCGGTCAATGGGTCAATAACCTAACGGTCAAATAAATAAAACTGACAAAGAGCATGCCAACGAGCAATGGGCCGCGGCACAGCACATGTGCAAAGATAACTAATTCTCATCTAGATAAGAATTGTAAATCTGATTAATTTATCCCATCAAAATCTAAAATTTAGGGGTCGGTCACATAGATAGCAGTACAATCACAGTCCCAGTAATAATTAAATTAAGTGTAGAACAAGGTACACTTTTTTGCAATGTAGTCGTTGGTCATGAGTTGGCCGCATATGGCCGTAGTACCCCACGTACGACAGTCTGGTTTGCAGGAGGACCAGACATTCTTATAAAGGTCTGTCTAGAACTCAGTCGAGAAGTCTAAGTCGACTGATGTCAGCGTTCTGCAGATGCCCGATTCGATTGCTTTGTCGTTCCTTCGTTTCCCTTTGGGCTTGTTTAACGTGTACATGGCTTTCTTTTGTCTTTTTTTTCTTGTCTTCTTATGTGGGCTGCTTTTGCCTTTATTTTGTTCTTCCAAATTGCTTGTCTCGTGTTGGGCTTTTTTTTTCTTGCTTGTACGTGGGCAGCCTTCTATTGTTTTTTGTTCTCTTTCTTTTAGATTGGTTTATTTTCTTTTCTTTGTTTGTATTTAGGCTGTCAAATATATGGGTGTATGTGTCAGCTCTCCCAGTCGATTTGCACTGTAGTGTGTCTCAAACAAACATAATGCATACAAAAAGTGTAGTTGTTCTAAAAGAATGTAGCATGTTTGTATTTCTTTGAGCACATATTTTTGCCACAAAGAAGAAGAAAAATAAATTAAGAAAAAAATGTGTGGTCCACGTGTGCGCAAAAACGAGTGGCATTATTTTTTAGATAAATATCCAAAACATCACTAAATTAGAAAAAAAACAATAACACAAATCCAAAACATAAAATAGAAATAGAAATACAAAATCCAAAATGAAAAATTGAAATAAATTCACATACTGGAGTCTGGAGGGGCGCTCGCGTCGCCGAGCATCCTGTCACCAAGGACTTCCGCCGCGGAAAGCTTCGATGTGCCCATCCCCGTGATGCGGCTTCCTTCCTTGCTCGTTCTCTCTTTGTCCCCGCTCGTCTTTCAGTTCAAACAATACCATTGGGGTGACCTCTAGAAAGATGTTGAGCCTGGGTCCGCATTCCAGAGACTTCAAACAGAAAAAAGAGCAGCACATCGTCTATAGATACTCCATTCCACCACAACAAAACATTTATGTGTCCCTGGATCTAGACAAAAGTAACTATTTCATCTTTAATATGCTCTTTTTTCCACAAAAGCAAATTAATTTTTTGTTGTGGTTCCTTGGGGAAAAAATTCAATGCAAAAAAAATGTGTACATGATTTTTAAAAAATAACAAAAAGACCAAAATATCTTGAAAAATGCCGACTCCCCACTGTGAGAAAATAACAAAGCTAGTTGTGAGATCAGTTGTGTGGCTATAGTTGGACATGCTTCTCTCTTGCCGCCGCCCTCTCTGACAAAACAAAGGCGCTTACAAAATGCAACCAGGTTAGAAGACATGCAGTTGTGTGCCTATTCTGCGACATGCAACTGGCCCCTCACCTCATCCGACAAAAAACAAAAAAGGTCGTGTTGCAACCAAGTTAGAAGACACGTAGTGGCGACCATATTGGAAGACATGCAGTTGCATGGCTACATTTAAGCATGCAAGTGCCCCTGTCACTTGTCATCACCCCCTCCGATAAAACAATGGAAGTCGCTTACAGTTGCAACCAAGTTAGAAAAGATGCAGTTGCGTGCCTATCATGGGACATGCAACTGGCCCATCTCCTCACCCGACAAAAAAATGTCAAGTTGCGACCATGTTGGGAGACATGCGACTGACCCCTCTCCTTGCCCGACATAAGAAAAAGTCAAGTTGCGACCAAAGTTAGAAGACATGCAATTGCATGACTACATTTGAGCATGCAAGTGCCCCCCCTCTCTCTTGATGCCGCCCCTCTGACAAACAAGGGACCCAATTGCAACCAAGTTAGAAGATATGCACTTGCGTGCCTAGAGTGGGACATGCAAACTGCTCCCTCTCGTCATCCGACAAAAACAAGATGGGTTGCAACCAAGTTTGAAGACATGTAGTTGCGAACATGTTGGAAGACATGCAATTGCATGACTACAATTGCCCCCTCCCCCACTCTCTTGCCGCTGCCACCTCCAACAAAACAAAGGCGCTTACAAAAATGCAACCAGGTTAGAAAAGACATGTAGTTGTGTGCCTATTCTGGCCCCTCACCTCACCCGACAAACAGAAAAGGTCGAGTTGCAGCCAGATTATAAGACATGTAGTTGCGACCATGCTCGAAGACATGCAGTTGTGTGCCTGGTGTGGGCCATGTAACTGGGCCTCTCTCTCTCTCTCTCTCAGAAAATCAAGGTCCCCAGTTGCGACCAAGTTAGAAGGCATGCAATTGCATGTCTAGTGTAGGGCACACAAATGGCGCCTCTCCCCGTACGACAAGAAATGGAAGTCGAGTTGCAACCAAGTTATAAGACATGCAGTTGCGACCAAGGTAGAAGACATGCAGTTGCATGCCTAGCATGGGACATGCAATTGGGCCCCATATCTCCCAACGCCTAGTATCGGACATGCAACTGCCATCCCTCTCCTGCCGTCCTCCGACAAAAACACAAGACCAATTGCAGCCAGGAGGGAGACATGCAGTTGTAGATGGGGCGACACTCGTTGCTGCAAAGCCTAGTGCTGGACATGCAACTGTACACCTCTTGCATAACCCACTAACAAAAGAAAAAACAAAGGTCAGTTTCGATCGGGGTGTGTGGGCATGGAGTTGCATGCCTAATGACAGACATGCAACTGCCTCCCTGAAGAAAACAACAGAGAGTTGCAGTGGGAGTGACACTTGCAGTTACATGCCTAGTGGCAAACATGCAACTTCTCCCTTCCCGACAAAACATCACAAAGTTGCAGTCGCATTAAACACATGCAATTCCACTCGGGGACGACACTTGTAGTTGCATGCCTATTGATAGACATGCAGCTATCCCCCTCTCCCGACAAACAAACCGTTGAGTTGCGGTTGCGGTTGCGTCGAAGACATGCAGTTGTAGTCGGGGACGACCCTTGCGGTTGCGTGCCTATTGACAAACATGCAACTACCCCCTCTCTAGATGAAAAAAGGAAAAAAGAAGAGAAATATACACAAAGGCCACTCCTTCACCAATTGCATGTGTAGTAAGACGTGTTTACTTGTGCATGGATTAACGGATATGCATACTGCAAAGTTTTCCTTCGAGGCTAAAGAATAACGAATTAATAAAAAAACATAGTTACACGCGGATATGATGTGTGCAGTCGCATGTGGATAGATGTACATGTAGCTGATAGTATTGTTACAAAATTGACGACAATAAATGTGAACAATTAATAATTAATAAAAGCCAAAAAGAAAAAAATGAAAAAGCACACGAACATATTTCAAAGAATGAATTATGAGAGAAAAAGAGAACAAGAAAAGAATGAGCAGAATGAAAATAGCTAATAATTTTAAAAAAACAAACAAAAACAACCAAAATCAAAAGGAAAACTAACCTGCAAATCCAAAATGAACTGGCTCAATCCATTTTGAAAAAAATATTACACAATGTTGTGACCGGAAAAAGGAAATGCAACACAAATTTGAACAAATCTTGGCGCATAGATTAAATGGTTTATCGCATTACCAAATATTATATGAGCTAACCTTGACCCACATCGTGGAGGAAAATAAAAATGTTTATTGATTAAGACATGCTAAAAGATATAGGGGAAGATAGGACAGACACGTTGATCTACTAAAAAAACAAAACAACACACTTTACACTTTGCATGGTCTATTTCCATCCACAACCCAATAGACCAAAAAAAAAATAGGCCGGCCGTCCGCGTCATCCTAGCAGGCCGATTAAACGTGACAAGCAACTAGCATAAAAAAATCAATTGAGGGATCGACTGAGACTTCGTAAGAAATCAGTCGACTGAGTTTTAGTTGTTCTGTTCTTGTAAACTTTGTCAAGACTGATAGGCCTTCTTAAGGAATGGAATTTTTTTCCCCGCAAAAATATAATAATTAAATTAAGTGTAGAAAAAGGTACATTTTTTTAGAGAGATAGAACAAGATAAAGTATAGCAACACTACTTTGGTTTTTGCAAAGAAAAAAAAACACTGCTCCGGATATTTCAGCAAACAATGCATGCATCAAACCCCTGCGTGGCTGTGTCTGCAAAATAGAAACAAAACTTAATAAGAAGAAGGAAGAAGAAAAGGAACAAGTATATTGGTCGTCGCAGACTTGCAGTGGTTACATGTTCTTATTTACGATTACGGGGTCAGAGCGGCCATCTCAGTTGATTAAGATTTAATTAAGTCTTAATCGATTTGGATTTAACCAAAGTTTTAGTCAAATGATACAACATATAAAAAGAAAAAAAAAGAAAAGGAATTTTTTTGCAGTGATCTCCACGTAAGATTTCACGAACATAGCACCACTAAGATTTAGCAACCCTGTAATTCTAAAGAGAGAGGAGAGCGTTCTTTTTTATTTTATTTTTGCCATGAGAAAAGTTAGTTGCCGTCAGTTTCCTCCGGATTCTCGATCTTCATCTTCTTGTGTCCCAGGCTGCAACATGAGATCTTCTCCATCCTCTTCTCCTCGACGTTGAGTCTCCTCATCTGCACGCGTTCATACACCTCCGCAAGCTTCGTCACCACCGCCCCCGGACAACACCTCGCTCTCCCAACCAACTCACAACCACAGCCGACCACCTCCTCATTCTTGACGGTCGCCGGCATCGTTGCCGGGAAGCCGGGGCTCTCCTCCTCCACCTCCTCCTTCTTGACGGACGATGCCGTCCGCGTCTTGGCGGCCTTCTCCTTCTTAACGGATGCCGCCGGCGTCTTGCCGGCGAAGCCAGGAGGCGAGTCGGCCAGGAAGGCCCGGAGCCGGGCAAAGTGGCGCCACCCCGACGTCGGCCGCCCCTTGGCGAGCTCCTTCATGTACTGGTCCTTGAGTGTGTAGAGGCGCTTCTGGCACTGGACGAGGGTGCGGTTGAAGCGGCAACCTTCGGCGGCGCGCTGGGCGTTGACGGCGGTGCACACGACGCGCCACTCCTCCACGCCGAGGGGGTCTGGGCTGCGGCGGAGGTGCAGCGGGCCCCAGGCGTCCACGAGGGCCGACGTCTCGCCGTCGCTCCATGGCCCGCGGGCGCCCGAACTTGCTTTGCTGCTGTGCATGTCGGGCGAACTGAACTGAACTGAGACGAGGCTGCTGCACTGTTAGGGAGATTGTTTGCGTTGTGACAGTGGTTGTGAAGTGCAATTGAGTATAAAGCAGCTGCGTACTGAACCAAATGCAGCCACTGAACAACGAGCCGGGAGGCAAAACTCATGAGTGAAGGTTCTACATAAATCATCCGTGGCCGCCCAATCTAGAAGATCGCTGTGTGACTTGTGAGTAGCACTCTGTCTTTTTGTTTTCGCTGTGTGACTTGTGAGTAGCACTCTGTCTTCTGAACGTGCAGTGGAGAAGGGCTATGTCGCATATGATTTCCAAAGTGAAAAAAGAAGCTGAAATGGGCTACGTGTAGAAGAACCAGTCGGTAGAACATGCATCAAGGGCCTCCATCAACCACTACTGCATCTTATTCTTACCTGAATGTACGATGCACAAGCCCCTCGTTCTTGGAACGGTCCTGCCTTTCTCAATGTAACCATGTGTTTCGGTGTGGAGTGTTACATAGTATACTACCTTCATCCGAAATTACTTGTCGTGAAAATGGATATATCTAGACATATTTTAATTCTAGACTAGGTAATTGGCCGTGCGTTGCCACGGGAATATAGATACATATAGCTCAAACAAAATGTATTTATCTCTTCCCGACTCTCGGTTTATGTGTAAGCTTAACTCCGAGTGCACATGAAAATGCATGTTATCAATCCTTCTATGCAATTGTACTCACACAAATATTTTACATTTTGCTCGCCATGAAATAAATAGCGGCGTCAATCCTTCTATGAAATTGTACTCACACAAATAGTACCATATATTATTCTTCTTAAATAAAATACATGGCCACAATGATTGTTATTGGTGATGATGGACAAGCATGGCCTCATTGTGTTTACAATCATGCAAATACATAATACACCAATAGACTAAATAATAAACTATTATGAAGAAAACAATGGACAGTGGCATTGCATCACAAGTTAAAATTAAGAAACTTGTGAAAACAAATAACCAACTCACATTCATATTGTAGAGATATGTCCATGCTAGGTTCAACAACGGCCATTTTTTCTTCTTTACCATTACATCATCCTCTTTTTCTCCTCCGGCCATATTTCTATGTTGCTATTACACGCAACTCATACAAATATTCTTCACGTTACATTGATCAAGGGGCGCTTCAACTTTTAGTGTTGGAAATATGCCCTAGAGGCAATAATAAAATGGTTATTATTATATTTCTTTGTTCATGATAATTGTCTATTGTTCATGCTATAATTGTGTTATCCGGAAATCGTAATACATGTGTGAATACATAGACCACAACACGTCCCTAGTGAGCCTCTAGTTGACTAGCTCGTTGATCAAAGGATAGTCATGGTTTCCTGACTATGGACATTAGATGTCTTTGATAATGGGATCACATCATTAGTAGAATGATGTGATGGAAAAGACCCAATCCTAAGCTTAGCTCAAAGATCGTGTAGTTCGTTTGCTGTAGCTTTTCTGAATGTCAAGTATCATTTCTTTAGACCATGAGATTGTGCAACTCCCGGATACCGTAGGAGTGCCTTGGGTGTGCCAAACGTCACAACGTAACTGGGTGACTATAAAGGTACATTACAAGTATCTCCGAAAGTGTCTGTTGGGTTGGCACGAATCGAGACTGGGATTTGTCACTCCGTATGACGGAGAGGTATCTCTGGGCCCACTCGGTAATGCATCATCATAATGAGCTCAATGTGATCAAGTGGTTGATCACGGGATCATGCATTACGGTACAAGTAAAGTGACTTGCTGGTAATGAGACTGAACAAGGTATTGGATACCGACGATCGAGTCTCGGGCAAGTAACATACCGATTGACAAAGGGAATTGTATATGGATTGATTGAATCCTCGACATCGTGGTTCATCCGATGAGATCATTGTGGAGCATGTGGGAGCCAACATGGGTATCCAGATCCCGCTGTTGGTTATTGACCGGAGAGGCTTCTCGGTCATGTCTGCATGTCTCCCGAACCCATAGGGTCTACACACTTAAGGTTCGGTGACGCTAGGGTTGTAGAGATATTAGCACACGGTAACCTGAAAGTTGTTCGGAGTCCCGGATGAGATCCCCGACATCACGAGGAGTTCCGAAATGGTCCGGAGGTAAAGATTTATATATAGGAAGTCCAGTTTCGGCCATCGGGAAGGTTTCGGAGTCACCGGTATTGTACCGGGACCACCGGAAGGGTCCCGGGGGTCCACCGGGTGGGGCCACCTATCCCGGAGGGCCCCATGGGCTGAAGAGGGAGGGAAACCAGCTCCTAGTGGGCTGGTGCGCCCCCCCTTGGGCCTCCCTCTGCGCCTAGGGTTGGAAACCCTAGGGGTGAGGGCGCCACCCTTGCCTTGGGGGGCAAGGCACCCCCTTGGCCGCCGCCCCCCTAGGAGATTGGATCTCCTAGGGCCGGCGCCCCCCTAGGCACCCTATATATAGTGGGGGAGGGAGGGTAGCCGCACCCAAGCCCCTGGCCTCTCCCTCTCCCTCCCGTGACACTCCTCCGTCTCCCAGCGCTTGGCGAAGCCCTGCCGAGATCACCGTTGCTTCCACCACCACGCCGTCGTGCTGTTGGATCTTCATCAACCTCTCCTTCCCCCTTGCTGGATCAAGAAGGAGGAGACATCTCCCAACCGTACGTGTGTTGAACGCGGAGGTGCCGTCCGTTCGGCACTAGGTCATCGGTGATTTGAATCACGTCGAGTACGACTCCATCAACCCCGTTCTCTTAAACGCTTCCGCTCGTGATCTACAAGGGTATGTAGATGCACTCCTCTCTCCCTCGTTGCTAGATGACTCCATAGATTGATCTTGGTGATGCGTAGAAAATTTTAAAATTCTGCTACGTTCCCCAACAGTGGCATCATGAGCTAGGTCTATGCGTAGTTACTATGCACGAGTAGAATACAAAGTAGTTGTGGGCGTCGATATTGTCAATTTGCTTGCCGTTACTAGTCTTATCTTGATTTGGTGGCATCGTGGGATGAAGCGGCCCAGACCAACCTTACACGTACGCTTACGTGAGACCGGTTCCACCGACTGACATGCACTAGTTGCATAAGGTGGCTGGCGGGTGTCTGTCTCTCCCACTTTAGTCGGATCGGATTCGATGAACATGGTCCTTATAAAGGGTAAATAGAAATTGGCAATTCACGTTGTGGTTTTGGCGTAGGTAAGAAACGTTCTTGCTAGAAACCTATAGCAGCCACGTAAAAACTTGCAACAACAATTAGAGGAGGTCTAACTTGTTTTTGCAGCAAGTGTTTTGTGATGTGATATGGCCAAAGGTTGTGATGAATGATGAATGATATATGTGATGTATGAGATTGATCATGTTCTTGTAATAGGAATTACGACTTGCATGTCGATGAGTATGACAACCGGCAGGAGCCATAGGAGTTTGTCTTTATTTATTTATGACCTGCGTGTCAACATAAATGTCATGTAATTACTTTACTTTATTGCTAAAGCGTTAGCCATAGTAGTAGAAGTAATAGATGACGAGACAACTTCAAGAAGACACGATGATGGAGATCATGATGATGGAGATCATGGTGTCATGCCGGTGACAACGATGATCATGGAGCCCCGAAGATGGAGATCAAAGGAGAAATGATATTGGCCATATCAGGTCACTATTTGATTGCATGTGATGTTTATCATGTTTTACATCTTATTTGCTTAGAACGACGGTAGCTTAAATAAGATGATCCCTCGTAATAATTTCAAGAAAGTGTTCCCCCTAACTGTGCACCGTTGCGAAGGTTCGTTGTTTCGAAGCACCACGTGATGATCGGGTGTGATAGATTCTAACGTTCGAATACAACAGGTGTAAGACAGATTTACACACGCAATACATTTAGGTTGACTTGACGAGCCTAGCATGTACAGACATGGCCTCGGAACACAGAAGACCGAAAGGTCGAGTATGAGTCGTATAGAAGATACGATTAACATGAAGATGTTCACCGATGTTGACTAGTCCGTCTCACGTGATGATCGGACACGACCTAGTTAACTCGGATCATGTTATACTTAGATGACTGGAGGGATGTCTATCTGAGTGGGAGTTCATTTAATAATTTGATTAGATGAACTTAGTTATCATGAACTTAGTCTAAAATCTTTACAATATGTCTTGTAGATCAAATGGCCCATGTTGTCCTCAACTTCAATGCGTTCCTAGAGAAAACCAAGCTGAAAGACGATGGCAGCAACCATACGGACTGGGTCTGGAACCTGAGGATCATCCTCATAGCTGCCAAGAAAGATTATGTCCTAGAAGCACCGCTAGGTGACGCACTCGTCCCACAGAACCAAGACGTTATGAACGCTTGGCAGACACGTGCTGATGATTACTCCCTCGTTCAGTGCGGCATGCTTTACAGCTTAGAACCGGGGCTCCAAAAGCGTTTTGAGAGACACGGAGCATATGAGATGTTTGAAGAGCTGAAAATGGTTTTTCAAGCTCATGCCCGGGTCAAGAGATATGAAGTCTCCGACAAGTTCTTCAGCTGTAAGATGGAGGAAAATAGTTCTGTCAGTGAGCACATACTCAAAATTTCTGGGTTGCATAACCGCTTGACTCAGCTGGGAGTTAATCTCCCGGATGACGCGGTCATTGACAGAATCCTTCAGTCGCTTCCACCGAGCTACAAGAGCTTTGTGATGAACTTCAATATGCAGGGGATGGAAAAGACCATTCCTGAAGTATTTGCAATGCTGAAATCAGCAGGGGTAGAAGTCAAAAAGGAACATCAAGTGTTGATGGTGAATAAAACCACTAAGTTCAAGAAAGGCAAGGGTAAGAAGAACTTCAAGAAGGACGGCAAGGGAGTTGCCGTGCCCGGTAAGCAAGCTGCCGGGAAGAAGCCAAAGAATGGACCCAAGCCCGAGACTGAGTGTTTTTATTGCAAGGGAAGTGGTCACTGGAAGCGGAACTGCCCCAAATACTTAACGG